TTACCCATTCTGTTTCACTCTCATACTTGTCAAACTCTATTGATTCTCTCCACTCATCTTCTTGTCTACCTGTGTGTGCTATTTGGAACGTGGCAACTCGAACTGCTGCACTTCGGTGCCAAGTTCTATGTTGAATCCAGACAGACAGACAAAAATAAAATGAAATGTTATAATATGCTAACAAGAGTGGAATAAATCAAAATGAAGAATATATGAAATGTGAATTACATGATAATGCTAAATTCAAATTACCGGTAGAGATTGTACAAATAGATTTGTATACAAAGTTCTAGGCTCAAGTTATCAAGTATTGCATCGAGGATTTCATCACGAGCTGACATTATTTACAGAACCCCTGGGATATCTGGGAGTACTGTCAGATAGCTGTTTTCTCCACCCTAGTTTGAGAGTCTCCAGCGGTACGCACTTACACCATGGGGTCGGAACCCAGGTCGTTCTGGTTACATGTTGAGGTCCTGGGTTCAAATCTCGGTGGGTCCGTACTGCTGAAGGGTCCCAAACTAGGACGAAACAGCTGTCGATTACTCCGAGGTTTTCCTATGGTTCTCTAACTAATGTCCACTCATGATGAAATCCTCCATGCAATCAAACAAAATCCCTACAAAACCAATGCTTATCAAGGCTTCCGCTATTCAAAGCAAATACACTTGTTCACCTTTTTATAGGAAATGTATCGAACTTTGTAAACGGTGTTAAAAGATGAATCAAAATCCTTGTGGACATTACCTGCTACTTGTTATAACAAAGATGAATTAATACCTCTATGCTCGTCTTTACTGAGCTAAGCTTTCGAACGTGGTTGGATATTTTTCTCGATGAACGTCCTATGTCCCTGTCTGCTCAAGTGCACATGGAATTAGACAGCTGCGGTAACATTTCCCTAATATTAAGGTGCACTAGTGGATAACTCAAGCAAGTTATTCGTAGAATGATAATAATTTGTCATTCGTAATCATCTTAACCAACATTTTTACGAGTTGATCACGGATTGATATCAGTTAGAGAACCATTGAGAAACCTGGGAGTACTGGACAGCTGTTTCATCCTAGTTTGGGAATCATTAGCAGTACGCACCCACTGGGATTCGAACCCAGGAACTTCTGGTTACAAGACAAGCTCGTATACTATTCAGCCACTGGGACCGGATTCAATGGCTCCCTGGTTTTCAATGGTTCTTTAACTGATATCAATCTTTGATCAACTCGTAAAAACATATCTAACCCTTGCAAACCAAACTATAGAAAATTAACCAATATTGTCACACTTCAACATTACCTTTCATTGTCACATTTTAACATACACGAAACTATTTTACAGTTATGTGTATAAGACCAACGTCAAGAGAATTCTCTTCGCTGAGATTTTTGTTTTGTCTGAATGGTAGTTATTAAGTTAACTATTTATAGTAGTTGCTATACCCCTGATTGAAGAAAACGTGTTAAATGACTAGCAGTCTAAACGTTTTATTTTCATTCCGAAAGTTTATTTTAACAAACAGTAGTAACTCGGATGCCTAACATATGTGTGTGTAAAACTTGAACATTATAGTATTAGGTAGTTCCATATTAGTTTGTTTATTGGATGTACATCACATGCAGTGAAATAGTACTGTTCACTAGATGACGAAGTTCTGAATACAATTTATTGTTCGTAATCGTATCAATAGGAAACGTACAGCGCTTTGAAAGTCGATTTTTACAATTCTGTCTCTCGCTTCCTATTTGTTGTAAAGGTAGTAAAATTTCCCAGATATCTGGATGGATAAGTATTGAATCATTTCCACCACGTGTATTTGCATTTGACTAGATAAAAGAGCTTCAGTTATTAAACTCTCTCTCTCTCTCTCTCCACCATTTTACATTAGATTTTTTTAAGACTGTCATCTTATTTCACCCTAGTGTATGGTTGTGTGCACCTGCATGTAGTGTTGCAGCTGACCTGTTGTTTGAAGCTTCAGTCAATCAGATGTTTGGTGAGAAATGTTAGCTCTGAGGTTTTCCGATATCAAAGGTGGCTCCTCTTCTTTATATACCTATGATTAAAATCGATGAATTGCCATACATGTAAGAAGTGGTCTTAGTTGTTTTTTTCTAACCAAATACCGAAAGATGAGTAGTGAAATATGTGACTCAATATCGTGGTGCATTTTTTGACATAAAATGCGTGTAGTGCTAGAGACTATTTAAAATGAGCTATCCTTTCATATATGATGTGCCACGTCAATTTATATCTGTGGAAAGTCTTTTAACCCTTTTGAGGATTTAAAAGTTCATTACGTCATCCTTGTTACTGCGTATATTTTCTTATCTTTTAAGCCAAGACTGTTGTGTTTTGACAGTATTATAGGATATAACCATCATTATTCATCTGACAACCAACTAATGCGACTTACACAATCAGTTTTCCATCTTTACTGCTCTTGTTTTATAATGTAAAGCTGCTACTCAGCTCTTTTATCTATTTTTTCTGCGATCAAATGATTGATATTTTAAATACTCACTAGGTAGTTTTCGCTGACTTGTTTACAGATACCAGCTTACATATCTGCATAATCTATAACCAAATGTTGCGTATTTTACCAGTGTTATGGACTACATCAGTTAGTCACTGCTGACAGTAAGCATAATAATCTCCTACGAATTTAGTGGCGCGTTAGTGTGTATATATGTATTTTACTAACTTAAGATTCCATTCTGAGCATCGGTGGTACAGTGGTTAGGACTCGCGCCGACCATGCACATGGTCCGGGGTTCGAGCCCACGCCGACGCACAAGTGATATCTATGGTCGGCCTGGGAATTTCGGGCTACCGATATCCACGCTGAAAATTCCATACTTGTACCAGAAATACAGTGTGGAATCAAGCTGTAATCAAAAAAAAAAAAAGATTAAATTTCATCTTTTTTCTAGAATAGCTGGAATATATTTTCATCTCGCAGTGACTGGTGGGTTTTCAAATGATATATCACTATTATCGCTAAGTTTTTACAAGTAGTATATTTCTTGAATTAGTTGTGTTCTCTGAGCTGATTGATCTAATTGCGAAGCTTTCGTCGTCCTTTTAGACAACATCTTTAGCGAAGGTTTCAGTATATTTCTGCAGACTTACATAAAGTATCACCTAGTCATAGTGAAACTTCAAATAACTTACCCTTAGTTTGAATATACCTTTTAAGAGAATAGTAGTTGTTTTAATCTACAGTCCTCAAAATTTTCTTGCTGTAAACACACGTTAGATTTAATTCAATTTTAGATTTTTCCGTCGATTGATTGGACCGAAGTACTAGGTCTCAGGTTGACTTACCGGCTCCTTGTGCAGATGCTTTGACGATGTCTGGTCATGTAACTTGAAGTTATTTGGTGGACGGTGACTAACAGTGGAATCGAGGATGCGAATTTCGTGCTGTTTGAGACTCGTCATCTATATGTACCTGCACTCCCCAATGACTGATAGCGTCTCCACCGAGTCTCGAACCCAGTGCCCATAGAGTCTCAAATTCCAAAGCATTATCGATTGACGGGAAAATCTAAATTGAATCAATTATTTAATAAGATACATTGCTCAGGAGGCGGCTCTCGTGGACCAAGTGGTCTGGTTGGTAACGCTTTTGCTCTTGAGACTATAGGCACTGGATTCAAGCCTTGGTGGAGACACCATCACTCACTGGGGGGTGCAGGTACATCCTACTGACGAGTCCCAAATAGGATGAAATGCCCATCCTGGATTCCACTGCTAGTCACCATCAACTATTTAACATATGTTAGATATGTGAATTTAAGACAGGCTATTTAGAATTGAATTTACTATAATATTTGTTGAGTTAAGTGTAATGCATGCGGTGGACAACTTTTCTATAGTGTAATTAGATCTTAGTTTTCTGTTTCTTCATTCCGTTTATTCTAAGTGCATCAGTAATACTTTTCACTAACCCCGATGGTTGGTAAACTTAATAACAATTGCCAAATGAATTTTACTAATTGCAGTCTTGTTTTGATATTTCAAACTGTTGGTGAGTGGAATTTTACTAACCATATGTTCACCCCATGTGCCACTTTATCCAGTTTCCCGATACTTTTATGAAGCATTCTATCACATAAGTCAGCCTAAATATCACAGATGTGAAAAACGAAAATAGTTGACTGACAGTCACAGCCTCCGTCTAATTACAATTTGTGATAAAGATATTTTTTTACTTGTATTTACTGCGTTATTAAAAGTATTCTTTTTTGCAGTTCTCGTAACCTCAGTTGTATATTGTAGTCGAGCATCTCTAAGCATGAGAGTCCGTATATTTTGGTAGATTGATGAACATCTTGTATTGATATGTACTCGCCTTTTTTGTCACTATAGTTTGTGCTGAAGATCGAACACCATCATAGGTTAATCAGTTCAAACTAACTTGCTTCAAGAATACAATTATTGAGGGCTAATAACGCTACCGAATTGTGCACGCTGACTCTATCAAAACATGAAGCCCAGTGGCTGAAGACCAAGTGCGAAATGTTAAATTATATCTTCGTTCATATTTGGAAATTTTAGGGTAAAGCTGACGTTTCTTTATCGAAATTGGTAACATCTGTAGCTTTTATGTAAGCACTTAACGAAGTCCATGATGAGTAATCTTGTAGTGTATCTTTTTCTTAATTACATTTTGAAAAAAATGCAACAATCATTCGAGTTTTGCATTCTGTCTCATCAATATTGTCCAGAAAATCATCAGGAAAACACTTGAGTGTTATATTTCAAACTGTAACTACATGAAATTGATTTCTTTCAAAGTAGCATGGTATGAAACACGTAATTCTCTAATTTTTCCACTTCGTTTTGATTAATGTGTGACATCTTACGTTTATAATTCATCATTGTGTCACCTTATGTTGTACAAAGTAAATTTAACTGGATGTATCTCTGTATTCTAACTATGCATTTTAAATTCACCCTCTTTTTCTCTCCTCTTTTCTGAATATTTATCTCTCTAGCCGAACAGTTCACGTTCATCAGATTACCGATCAGATTATAATCCCACGAATTCCAATGATCGTCTGCTAAGTGGATCATCATCAATTGGTACTAGTAGCAATAATACAAGTGGTAAATCTATTTCTGGTTCTTCACTCTTTTCGGATTCAAATCCTCTTATGAAATTAGTTGATCATACAAAAGTAAAGTCATCAAGTTCTCTTAGTAAACCATTGAAAAAATCTTATCGGTCTAGATCACGTCAACAAAAAGATTCATAATGAATTGATAATTGAATGAAAGTAGAAATTTTGTCTCCCTTGTCTTCTTCCTCTTCCGTTTTCTCCTTGTTCTTGATTTCATTTCATCATTTTTGAGTGTGTTTTTTCATTGCCCATCTGCTTTGTTTTGTAATACCACTGCGCGCCTTCCAATGTTATCTGTCTTTTTTTCTTAAATTTTTTTTGCCTCACTACTTATTTCAGTAGTCTTGATTTGCCTTCATCTTCAAATGTCAGAAGATTGACATCTGTCGTCATTGTGGCTTTTATTTCTAATCCAATGAGTGATTAATTGACAATGAGATGATATTTCCTGTAAACTGTTTCTATTCACATCCATGTCTCTATAAATTCATTTAACTATTTCACTGCATATACTTTATATGTATTCATATTTATTTATTATTTATTTAATTATTTATATATTTACTCATGCACAACCAGATTAAAATATATTTCTTGTTTAGATATAATATATAAAAGCCACAAAAAGACAACCGACCAACCAACTAACCAGTATGCATTGTTTGTGTACAATTCGATTATTTATCTTATCATTTGACACCTCTACGCCGATTCTCAATAGGTAATGTGCCTTCTTTCTCTGAAATCAGTTTTCTAAGCACATTAACGCACACACACACACATACACCTTACAGACGTATATATAAATATATGCGCATATATTGTGTACATGCAGATATTCCTGAAAACCGCAGCACACATAGGCCTACTCGTGTTTTGTTGTTGTTTTTTCTACTTTTTCATGAAAATTCATTCATCCCTCCCACATAATATTTGGTGCATATTTTGCCGCTCAGGTTGTGGATACTTTTCTGATAGTTTCTGTTTTTTTTTATTCTCCTCCTCTGAAAGCCTTGATGAAAATATCTTTCCTTGTTTTTTTGTTCCTTGTCGGAGGACGGAAGGTCATTCAACATTCGTTTTGCATGTCATCTTTATAATCATCAGTTGCAGACACTTTCTTTTTTTTCACTCATGAGGAGTATTCATCCAAAAAACAGACAAAAAAATTCACAATTAAAAGTTTAAAGAAAATAACACAATAATGACTAGAGTGTTTGTTTTTCAGCTTTGTTAATAAAAACTTTCAAACTTTCAATTGCATCATCGCCTTGTTTCTTTTTTATATTCTTGATAAATCGTATTATTGTCGTTTTTTATGGTTGTTTATTCATCGGCGGCGTGTTCCTTTCATCCTCTGTCTGTCTGTCTGTCTGTCTCTCTCTCTCTGATCACTCAATTAAGACTGTTGGTGTCTGTTCCATATATTAAAGATCATTAGTAATAGTAGTAGTAATAATATCTGTGACTACTTGATGAACAGCTTATGAAAGAGTCTTACACACACACACACACACACACACACACACACACAACATCTGCTACTTATATGCATCATTCTTCTTACTTATCTCATCATTATCGATTCTTTTATTCCTTAAAGAATTATCATATACAATGATTTTTGTTTTGTTTTGTGTTCACCTTTTAATTAAGTCTTTATGGTTTAATTTAAATCCAAATAAGTAACTTCAAACTTATCACAGTTATTGTTCCTTTGAGTTCTGAATGAAACATAAGACTTCATTCAATAGTAGTACATGTCCATTTAACCCTTGAACGCACGTCTGATTCGTCGTTTTTCATTTGGATTCCACTGTCTGACCTGACACAAAATGATTTCACTCAACGAACTCTTCAAAGTATGTCCAATTCACTTCCATTTGCTCTTTAGGGATAGGTTCTTAGTTGGTTCATTGTTAGAGTTCCTCGTTGCTTATCCTCCCTGACTATCTCACCTTCAGCATGGAATGAAAGTAGATGTTGATGAAAGTTTGCAGGAGCCTTTTGGGAATGGTAATTGTACCGCGTGTTCTAATTCTCTGCACCATATAGATAAACTAACTTGATATTAGTCTTAAAGATGTGTATTTTGTTCTTTACGCCGAGTGCAGCAGGTTACCACACTGATTTCAGGATAATTAACGTCTATCTTTCTTTCGCGATCCTGTCTGGCTTTTGCATCCTTATCTACGCCGTCACTGCAGTTGAAACGATGCTACCTATATAAGTGAAAGAGGTAACTTCTTTTAGATTTCTCTTCTTAATAGGGATTGGTAGTTAGATGCTTTCATCACTTTTCTCTTTTGTAGCTTTACTTGAAGTCCTATATGTACTCTAAAGTAGCGTATCTGTGCACGGTAGCTTAGAATTATCGAATGTACCTAACCAACCTGTCAGTTGAATTATTCTTAAGTCATCTACATCTCCAGCCAGTAATTATGATTCATTATTACAATGGAGATTTTTAGCTTAAATAAATGTTATTGGTGTAGTTGCGCTTTCTGTGCTGCATTTTTAATTGTGAATTTTTCCTTGTCTTTCTAAACAATATCTACAGTGTTAGCTTCAAGATGAAGTGAGTTTCTTTCAAATTCTTCATTCTGATGAAGTTAAACGTGATCACTTGTTTCCGGAGGTTTTCTTATCTTCTGGTTTGTTCATCTGTATTGGTAAAGAGTTATAATATTTATAGGGGATTTCGAAAACTCACTTCACATTGAAGTTAGCGCTAAAGATGCTGTCTAGAAAGGTAATGAAAGCTTCTCAATTAAGCCACCCCATTTGAAGAACACTAATATTCATTATGTTTTACTAATGCAACACATGAAAATAGTTTAAGTCTAAAAAACATTTAAGCTATAATACCGTATAAGTAATATGAGTATATTTGGTAGTTTGTGACAACAGTATCACTGTTCTGTGAGTTAAATCTCCCCAGATTAGCTGGTCATATAAGAGTAAAGCCATTGAGTTAATTTGATCCACCGCACAATGTACGATTGCCTCACAAACACAGTCAACCAACTGTGGGTCGTCGTAACATCCGAAGTTAGTGAGGAATTAGAAAATAGTTTTCGCTAACAGACCATATATATATATATATATATATATATATATATATATATATATATATATATATATATATATATATATATATAATGAAAACATAAGTTTCGAGTGCATGCATTTCTACACATCTGCTATTCTGGCTTCACTATTTACGTTTTGGCCATAAAATGAAGCCAGTTAGGTAAGAAACTATAAACACTATTAAATTCTCTTGGGTTTTTCTTCGTTATTTTGCCCCATACTTCTGTTCAACTTACCTTAGTAACTCGTTCCGCATAGTGTTAGCTATCGCAACACGCAAAAACGGTGTAACGATGAGTATTGATACTTGCGTACTACGAGTAATATTTTGAGATTTGGACTTATTGCTCACTAATTATTCATTCTGTGAGTGTGTGCCAGAATCCTGAGTACTCCAGTGCCATTTCTATTGAGTCTATGTTTTCTTCTTTGATAGTAATTAGTGGGGTAAATAGTATTTTAAAAAGTGAGATAATAGAAAACGATTCTACAAATGATACTACAGAATGTGTTGAAACCTGAAGTGTGTTGTTTTTCAAAAATAACACTTAGCTATCCGTATACTTAATTAAACAAGCTGATAAACACAACTTGTTGAATTCTGACTTGGTGGCTTGATCGTCAGTAGGTTGTCTTTGTAAACTGAAGTTCCTGGATTTGAATTCTGATAGCGTCATGGATGTGCATTACTAACGAGTTCCAAACCACGATGGAACAGCTGTCTGCTGCTGTTTGGTTTTCAGTGGTTCCCTAACCACTTTTGACTCCTGACGAAATTCACATTGAAAGTGAGAAAATTTCACTTTGCTGTTTAAATTCAACTGAATTAATCGAGATGACTTTTGTTTGCAAAATGAATTTAGTGTATCGGTAATTTGTTCAGCAGTTACTCTCCTTTTCTTGTTCAACTTGCTTCCCATTTGAATGACAAAAAATTACTGGATAACTACAGTTGTGATAAGTGGACAGTAATGTATCGTTGATGTATGTGACAACAAAACAGGATCTTTAATGAGTTCAGTAATGATAATAATAATATTACATTAGATACAGGATTTCATCATGAGCTGACATCAGTTAGAGAATCATTGAAAAACCAGATGGGAGCACTGGGCAGTTGTTTCGTCAGCCCAGTTTGGAACTCTTCAGCAGTACGCACCCACCGACAGGGTTCGAACCAAGGACCTTCTGGTCACAAGGCTAGCTATCTCATAAACCTCTAAGCCACTGGGACCCAATCCAATGGCCAGCCCATGGAATTTAAACTTCTGCCAATTCACGACATAGCGCGATCACTAGCCACTGTCTTCTGCGAGTATATTACGCGACTGAATGTACCAACAGTTGACATATGAGCACTATTGGTATCAGTAGGCTTGTTCGTATATGTAAGGAAGTTACAAGAATATTTTATAGTCAAGAGTGGGATTTGGTGCAGCAGATGTCACGTAAGAGTTGTAAGTTTTGATTAGTCGAAGTGATTAAAATAATAACAAGTTCAGTAGGATTCAAATATTTAAGTCAACAGTACGGATGAAGATAAAATATAAGCCATTTATGCAGGCACTCCGTCCGATATACTTTCCAGTTCATTGACTGCATACCTGAATGTATCCAACAAAATTATGCTGTCCTTTAACACTGAGTCACTTTCCACTAATGTCCCACTCACTGAAATGGTCTACTTCAGATGTAAATATATAGATATAAACCATTTCAGTATTGGAATACCAAGAGCATTTCTGAAGGAATTACTACTGAAATGTACTCTAAACGTACAGTTCACTTTCAACGACACCATCTATAGACAAAAAGATGGTATTGCTATGGGATCTCATTTTGGTCCACTACTATCAGATTGCTTCATGGCAAGCCTGGAGAAAGGTTTTGATGCGGTTGTGTTCTCTGAGCTGGATGAGCTGGGTGACATCTTCAGCGCATACTTCAATTTCGAGAAAGGTCCACTAAAGCCGAGCATTGACAATTTACGATTGCATAAAAGATACGTAGATGACATATTAATTATATCCCTATCTACTGCTGCAGACATTTAAATGTTGCCATCCAGCAATAAAATTCACTCTTGAAATGGAAAACGAATCGAAAATCCTCTTTCTTGACGTGGAACTAACGAAAAGAACTGATGGGACCTTAAGAAGATCGATCCATAGAATAGATACTTGGAATGGCCAGTTAACAAGCTTCTGTAGGTGGGTATCCATTCAACGAAAACGAAATTCAATTAATTCCTTTGCCACCCTCATCCAACACATCTGTACTCCCGGTGTTCTAGAAACAGAATTAGATCTTTTGAGAAAAATAGTCATCCGAAATGGATACTCACCAAGATTCAATGACAGTAAAATCAAACCTAGAATTTGGAGAAGTGAAACTTCACTCGCACCGAAGAAGAAACTCTATATGAACTTGGATTTCAAGTGAGATTTAACAAGCGATATTCTCAAGCGAAGGATCACGTCATCTTCGAGGAGAATATTCTTTGCAGCGACGCTAAGAATAGTGTTCTTGAGTCGCCCATCCCGCATCTGACCACTTCTATGTGCATATATCAGTTCACCTGGTGCTGTGGAGCCAGATACATTGGTCGTTCGACTCTCATCCTGTCCGAGAGAATTCAAGAACACTATCGAGCATCGTTGCAAAAAGGCAGTAGCGGTACAGTAAGCAGTGCGATAATTGAATACTTGGTTAACACTGGTCATTCCATCTCAACAAACACCTCCTGCTTGAAAGTAATCTACAGAGTCAAGAATAACCTACCAAAGGCAATACATTCTCGTCTTCTTTGTATCGCAGAAGCTCTGGTCATTAACACAGAAAAATCGGAGCTGTGCATACAAAAGAGAATTACTCAACCACTTCCTTTATCATGATAGCAACTCTTGATTTTTGATGACTTAGTTTTGTTTGTTTGCCTGTTTCTTTAATTACTTATAATTGTTGTATTCATTTAGAACTTCTACGTAATTTCGTATGCTCTTCTTTGTTCCTGTGTGTATCCTGAGTACAACTCAATCATCAAACTATCCATATTATTACGTAACTGCTTTTTAACAACTGTCTGTGACAACTCATCACCTTTGTTACAATAGTGTTTTCATTAGCAACCAATTTTCTTGACCGTTTTTGTATTACATAACTCCACTCAAAACTTACTACTTCTCAACCTCCTTTAGTTAAGATCACCATAACCAATTTTATTTTTGTTTAACAAACTTAATGTACACATACATACAAAATAACCTATATATGTTTTTAATCATATAGTTAATAAAATGAATTGGCCGAAAGGAGATTGTTAACTGAACTACATGTTCTGTATTCAATAAAGGGTATGAAACATTATTCTCAAAATTAATTGAAATAAAGTTTATCAAAGTGTTCTCACCATGGCAGGGGAAAACTGACAACCTTTTTTCACTCTGAATGCACAAACCCTTCAATTCCTACGGCTTCGGTAATAAATAACATACTTGAACTAACTCGTACTTTAATTATCTTAAATGGTTTAAAGACGCCGATGTTTTGGCGACTGTCTACCAGGAGACTACTGAAGACTTTAGCATCTTTCAGTTGTAGGTTTTATAGAAGACGACCAAGTGTGCGTTCACAAATCCTTCTTTGAATTTTTCCGATATTTTCATTGGCTCGTACACACAAAATGGTATATGCAGTTAGTGATAACATGGAAGGGAGACTTGTCAACTTTAGATTATCTCTAAGCAATTTATTTGGTAAAATGTAACTAATCTGTTAATTGGATAAGTTCATTTCACAGCGAAATTTATTCTATAGAATTAATTCTTCCAGTTACTTCATCACCTGTGAATTAAAACTTTCGGAAGGCTAGTTTCTTCTCTAATTTATCAAAA